TAAAACATAACACAGTAAAAACATCAAAGAAAAACAAATTCATCGAAGCCTCGCAGGTGAGTCACTCCAGGTCTGTTTCCCATTTTCTGTGGACCGCAGCCTCCTCACCGCGACAGGCATCCTCCCCCAAGGGATAAACAGGGGTTTTGGGCGACCTCGGAGGCGGAGGAAGACGGGACCTCCGCCGTGGAGCGAGGGTGGATGATGTCCTTCATCTCGCAAGGGGCGGGGGCGCAACCCTCAAGTAGGGGACCGCTGGGGACGGATACAGGCGGTCCACTACATATTAACAATTATCCTACGCATCCGTTAATATAGAGTAAACTGACAGTTATCTCACATATTTTCAAACAGTCTTTTGATAGTTAACCGCCATATTTTTTTTCCACAATAGTCTCTTAACAGTTACTATACACATCTACCAACACACTTCTTTTAACGGTTTGTTAAAAGTTAAAGTAAACGTCTCAGTCTTATATAGTCATCAGTAACATATATTTATAAAGAATCTTATATATTTTAACAAAAATTTATTAAAATATTCTTGATATATAATTATTCAGCGTCATAAGACAGGAATTGAAAAAAAAAGAAATCATGGTAAAAGAATAAAAAAAGGATTGAGGAAATAAAATGAGAAATGAAGACTTGAAGGAATAAGAAAATAAATTAAAAGATTATAAAAGTTATGAATATAAAATTCCTGCATGGTAATTGCCACGCGAAACCTGAGGATGGATGAGAATTTCCCGTGACGAATGAAAAAAAAGAAAAAGTTATAAGAAAATTGAATTATTCAATAAAAGCACGGAACAGGAGATGTAATTCACCAGCCAATAGATCAAGTCTTCATCAATATCAAATGAAATTCTGATGAAGATTTAATTGAAAGCCCTTAATTACATCTCTTACTTTGTGAACTTTCGAATTCCCGCGTAGTTTTGAACGGTCAACCGCCACTGATTTTGACCGTTATTTCATTTCATTATATTACCCGAGTATATTTATTATTCATAGGATATCTGTATTCATTTGCATTTAATATTTTTTTTTCTTTAATTCTGGTATTTTTCAGATTTTGATTATTCATATGCGTCAGGTTTGAACAATTTAGATATTTTAGGTCTAACTATTTATATAGATACTATTGAATGTTTTAGATATTCTGTAAGTTCCTCATATATCCCATTTGTTTCGTTTCTTAATCTCTCTCTCTCTCTCTCTCTCTCTCTCTCTCTCTCTCTCTCTCTCTCTCTCTTCTCTTTCTTTTCTTTCTTTCTTTCTCTCTCTCTCCTCTCTCTGTCTCTCTCTCCCTCTCATTTTCCCTCTTTCTTCTCCTTCCTCCTCCCATTCCCCTCTCCTATTCTTCCCATCTTTCCCCCTCCCTCTCCCTCTCTCTCAAGCGACGATAATAGCATCGATTCCCGCTGGACAAAGCTCGAATATTGCCTCTTCTTTGTCGGACAGAGAGAGACAACCGCCTTCGAGATCGGTGCGTTCGTGCGTTCGCTACATATAGTGGCGAGGCTTCTTGTTCTTCACCCACGTGTATCTAGCTGTTTCCTTCCTGCTTATTATTGTTCTCTCTCTCTCCCTCCTTACCTCCCTCCCTCTCCTCCTTCCCTACCTCCTCCCTCTCCTCCTTCCCTACCTCCCTCCCTCTCCCTCCTTCCCTACCTCCCTCTCCCTCCTTCCCTACCTCCCTCTCTCTCCTTCCCTACCTCCCTCTCCCTCCTTCCTACCTCCCTCTCCCTCCTCCCTCCCTCCTCATCCTCCTCTCCCTCCTTCCCTATCCCTTACCTCGCTCTCCTCCATCCCTACCTCCCCCCCCTCCCTCCTTCCCTATCTCCCTCTCCCTCCTTCCCTACCTCCCTCTCCCTCCTTCTCCCTCTACCTTTCTTTCTTTCCTTCTCCCTCCCCTTTTATCTCTATCTCAAATATATAGATGGTATTTTCCATACCCCTCATGGTACACCCCCACTTGCAATCTTCTGTGACGCCTCCACTGATCCTCATAGAGCAGTAGGGATTGGTGTACTAATTCCTGATATAGATCTTGAAGAAAGTGTGTGTATTTCCAACAGGGCAAGCACAACTGATACTGAGTCTGTTGCCATATACCAAGTCGTTAAAAAGGTAGTGAACAACAGCGATATCTATCTGTCTTTGCTGACAACCAGGGCGTACTCCATAGGCTCACGGTATTTAATCCTGAAAACATGGAAACTATCAATATCCTTCACCAAATTACTAGACTATCTGAATAAGGTATTCAAGTGACACTATACTGAATACCCTCTCATAAAGGAATATTATGCTGTGACAGGGTTGATGAATTAGCCAAATTAGCCCTTTCCCATGGAGAGCTATATTATGCAATACCCTTATGTCTCAATCAAATGAAAAATCGTATTATCAGCTGCCTTCGAGACTACGAGGGTCAGGTAAGGTCCACTGAAACGACGAAGAAAAACGGACATGGTGTTATATGGCATTATGAGAGTATTGCTGGAACAAGCCTTATAAAGTCTATAATGGACTGTTTGGCAGAAAGCAGGTTACCCTGACTAGGCTGCGCATAGGATATCAGTATACTATACAAAATGTACAGGATACAGTTTTGGAAGCAA